GGGTTGTGGGGGGGGGGGGGGGGGGGGGGGGGGGGGGGGGGGGGGGGGGGGGCGTCTAGATATATTGTAGATATTGCTATATTAACTAAATTATATGTACACTGAAAAAAAGCGTTCATGGGCAGCCTAGACTATCAGGAATTTTCACAACAAAATAAAATATTTTTTCTTTATTGAATTGCAAAAAAAACAAACCCTCTTTGTTCTCTTTCTCTGGATCATTGTTTCTACACTGGTGATTCTTTTGAACTAACTTTTTTTTATTTATACCGATATTTTATATAGCCTATACGATTAAAAAAAAATCGAATAATTTGCCTCACAGAATAGCCGACTGTTGCTATAGTAACGAACGCAACTTTCATCGCACAGCTCTTATTTGTTGTTTGCTATCAGTTTGTATTCTAACATTCAGCATTAACAGCAAGTCAAAAGGGGTAAGCTTTCAACTGAACTGTATAGCCTACATGCATTTTAAATGCTTACCGTTCCCCTTGACCCGTCCATGCAGTGAATGCACGTTATTGAATGAGTGGGTTTTTTAGAACATTAATTCAACTGCTCAGGTAATTTCAGTGGTAGGCTATGATACATACTCTGTATTAAACTCCCCGTAACTCACAAACTCCCCGTGATAAATAAATATTTCTGTCAGCCTAGAGCTGCTTTTCTGCAACAGACTGAAGCTCCGCATGAATTCAGCGCGCCTTGCTTTCAGCTAATAAAAGAAAAATGCAATTTTCTGGTGTTATTTCATGATTGTTTGGGCAGGCTCCAGCTATATCTTAAACTTTTCAATACAGTCCACTTCAGATTGGTTTTAATCACGGCACAAAATAAATAAATAAATAACCCAATCTTTATCTAATTCTGATTGGGTTGGCAAGACAACCATTTGGGTGGGCTCAGCCCACCCCTGCCCATGCCTGGAGCCAGGTGTCGTGCCGAATTCTGCACCCTGCCAGATTATGCATCCCCTCCCAGGTAGCCAAAACGGTTTGGCCCGATAATGGCCCAGATCCGGCAGGCCAGATGAAATAACTCGGCCCGGCTGCAGTTGCCAGAGTCAGCATGGACATGGGATGAATGACTCCTCAGAATTGGCCCAAATACACTGGTCTGAGTCCGGCTGCAAAAACTGCCGGCATTGGGCCACAATCACGCCAACAAGAATTGAAACACTTAGCCGGTACTGGCCCGAATCTGGGTACTAAAACTGAGTCAACACCACTGGCATTGGGCCACAATCACACAGACGAGGAATAAAACACTTAGCCAGTACTGGCCCGAGTCTGGGTACTGAAACTGGGCCAACACCACCAGCATTGGGCCACAATCACACATATTCAGTTTCAGTACCATTTTGGTTGGTGTGATATATATATATATATATATACTTACACTTACTCATACAGAATTACAACGTTTTAAATATGTGTATTAAAGACTCCTTCCAATTTTGATATAAAACCAGAGCTTTGAATAATTTGTTTTTCCAGAAAATGACATTGTTACCTTAAAATCCTTAAGATGGCATTTCCAACTAAAATAAAATACATATTTAACAGTGTCCTTGTTAAGTCTACATGTACTTATGCATGTCAACTAAATATGTCACCTTTACAACGATTAAGGGTTTGGCCCTTACACCATTTCTTTTCATGGCATCCCCACCGACCCCATAGCATCCATATGTGTTCCTTTCCCAGCTCTGCACAGTTTAGCTCCAACCAGCTCCAACTCACACCTGCTTGGAAGTTTCTAGTAATCCTGAAGACCTTGATTAGCTGGATCAGGTGTGCTTGATTATGATTGGAGCTAAACTCTAGCACTATTGCTGCGTTCCAGGCAGGTTTTTGAGCCCGTAAGTCACGACTTCAAACCACGACTCACGACTTTGTAGCGTTCCAGGTAAGTCACACCAAACTGCCTGAGCGCAAAGAATTGTGGTAGCTAGATGTAAACAAACTTCTAGAATAAACAGATTATTTTGTTATACAAGTATGTCATTTGCACTACCCCCTGTATAGGCTCTGTGCACAGCTGCAGTCTTGACAGAAAGGGGCTGCCATTGTTGTGTCATGGACTATGTGACGTCAGAGTGCGGAACTGGGAGTACATCGAACTATTACGAGTTCACGGGTGGGAAGTCACGGGTTTGACTGCCGTTCCAGTGCACTCTCACAGGTAGAAGGTTGGAAAAACACGGGTTACGGGTTGCCTGGAACGCGGCATATGTCAGCGAACTCACAATTATAGCTTCATTATAAATGAACATTATTTTGATATTATATGTGTAGTATTATATGTGTAGAACGGTTTATTAAAATTATATTATATGTTAGATTATCAAATGTTTACTCACCAGGGTAGCAAGTTTTTCTGGTCTTCTGTCATTTAGCTGCACGAAAAGCCTATCAGGTTTTGTCATTAGATGTCAAAGCTGCATGTCTTGAAACTCATATAGCAAAACATTTTTAAAGTTCCCTTAACCACTTTAAGCTTGTTTCATTATATGAATTCAATAATTAATTTCCAAATGTAGTTAAAGAAAAAAGAGAATGTTGGATAAAAGGAAAATAAAATAAAATAAAAAATACACTAAAGATTACCCTTAAGTGCAATGAATGTAGTTTGTAAAGATTTAGATAGACATATTTAAATTCCTTACATGTTGACAATAATAAGTCTATTACATACTCAACTTACTATAAGATTTTACTATTATACTATTTTATAGGAGTATATGTAAGATATTCATTCTATATTTTCCAAGAGATTAATTGATTTATGAAGTGTAGTAAGGCTTTCATTTGGCAGCTGCATAATTCATTCTTTGTTGAGTGATGCTGGGGTATTTACCCTTTTCACACTCATGGTCATCTATCATCATTAAGGCAAAATATGTGAAGTAGTTCATAAGTTTATACAATATGCCTAACATTTTTCATGTATATCTGTGTGTGTGTGCATGTGTGTAAAGTGAGAGTGAGAAAAATTTAGAATGATGGAGAAAATGAGAGGCAGAATGATTGAGAGAGAGCTGTTGAGTGAAACTGAACTCCTTAGTGGGTCTGGTTCCTGCATCATTCCTCACTCTGTAGGGTCCAGTTTTAAGCCACTGAATGGGACACACAAACAAACCCTTTCTCAATACAAGACCGACCCCTCATCCTTCTAGAGATGGGAGAGCTTACCGTGGGACATTGACAGTTTTGAACCTGAATTCATAAGTGTTCAAGCAACACATGATATATAAATGGAGTGTTTATGTAGCAATGTTAAGGCACATATAGTGAATTCTTTGGATCTTTCTTGTCACCAGGTTTACTGGGTAACAGCTTCTCCTCAAGTCCTCATGGAGAAATTCCCCTAAGGCTTCTAAAGGTCAGAGGTTCAGAGGCCCCCATTAAATACAGGTTAGCTGCTGGGGTTTCCCCATCTTTGAGATCCTGCTGGGAAGAAGTAGTCATTTAAAGTCTTGTTTCTAGCTGTAAAGTGATAGCCCTTGGTCTCTATGACGATAAGACAAGTCCTGCTCTCTAGGAGATCTGTATTCTCCATTTGCCCCTTTCTTGTATTTGTGTTGTGTGTATGTGTCAATATATATTCAGTCTAGCCAGCGTGGAGGTCCTCTAAAGTTTGCATCAATAATAGTCTCATTTTATGGGAATGATAGACAATTGTAATTTGTCTCTTTACTTTTTCTTAGTTACATAGAAATATCTTAGGAAAAAAACAATTCTAAATAAATCAGATTAACTATATAAATATTAAACAATCAAATTTGCTCATATTTATTTTAGCCCCAAAAATATTCTTCTGACCAAAGTTGTTATTGGCAAGTAAGAAAAATAGCAGTTATTTTAAAAATTATAAATAAAACAGTTCATCAACTGATTTAACATAAACTGTTCGACTGTTAAACAATCTAACATCAACTTAAACTTGTGCCAAACAGCTCTTAACCTCAGCATTGCTGGTTTTCTTAAATCAACAATCACCAAAATTACATCATGCTTACAAAAATCATGGTGAAATGTCATGAATGCAGTTTAAAAAAATTTTAATAATGGTTTATTATCAGATTTGCTTAGAACTTTTGAGCCATTCAGAACATAATTGATAATGTCAGAATTAAATTGAGGTAGCAAACAGGATGCAGAATTGACCCTTCGCAAAGACTCTTCGCATACCCCTTGGTTACAGTTGCTATGTCCGACAAACCATGCTGCTCTTATGCCACACATCATGTCCTCATGCAGTGAAAAATACATCACGGTGCAAAGAGGAAGCTGAAAACGTAACGACAGACAAGACAGAGCAGGTTACTTTAGGTATAGAACAAAGTCTCAGCTTTCAAATTTTGTCATTTTTTAAGAAATTCAAAGAGTAAATACCGTTTTGTGGCTATTTAATTTCGTGAGTGACAGATCGCTGTAAAGCCTCAGTTCAAGCGGCACTCTACCACTTTACCTGTTTTAACATGAAATAAACATCAATAAGCATTAGAAGGTATTTTGTTTTAACTGCGGAAAGATTTTTCAAGTTTAAATCCACCGACGTTAAGCTACTTGTCAGACAAAAATGAAATATTCTGCATTATAATTGGTCAGATCGTCTGCCAATCAAACTCCCTGCGAAGGGTCAATTGCAAATGGAATTGGAATATAAGTAGAAATACAATTAATTAAAATAAATAATATTAACTTTTCATTATAAACAGTAAGTAGAAAAACAGAGTTTGTCAAGACAA